AGTCACCAAAGGGATCCTTCTGAAACAGCTTGGCACAGACTGTCTTTGACTTTTTAATCAATTTATCTTCATAATGGATGAAAAAGGACATGACAATTTACCTCAAATATTAGGTCACAGCTAAATTTAGTATAGATTTTCTTTTCACTCTATCTCTATTTTAAGGAATCAGCTCACTCTTATCTCTAGAGTCTTCCTTCCTCCATCCAAAGATAGAAAAATAACTGCACTGCAGGGACATGTTAGAGTCAACACATATCTGGTTTGGCTAAGATACTCTTTCCAGGAGCAAGCATGGATGATTTGGACTTTTTGTTTGTTCACACACTTATGTTGTCCAGTGGTACACAGAGTTCCCTGAGGTTCAGATTTGATCTGCTGCAAGTCCATACTCTCCCTTTTTAGTTGAGCCTTGGCCTTTGCATGGAAGTAATTTTTTTAAATCCTTAATTGCTTCATTTTGGCATTAAAACCACCGTAGTAGGGCATATGGCTGCCTAACTTGAGACTATATGTTCTAGCCTCTTGAGTGGTTAGGTGCAGACATGTGACTTAGTTTCCCCCAATAGAGTGTGAGCAGAGTGATGTTTGTAACTTCTATGACAATAAAAGGAAATTGTTTGCCCTCCATTTTCTTTTTGGTTACCTTCCAGTTCCAGATGGGATATCAATTAACCAGTTGAAGGCAATATAGTAGGAAATGGCAGAGCAATAAGATGAAAGGAAGTAGAGTCCTTAGATATGCTGGTAGAGCACAGCTACCTACACACTGGTGTGCCTCTGAGCTATTATGTGAGAGAGCAATAAATATCTCTCCCCTGTGTGAGCTGCTCTAGTTTTGAGTTTCTATACCTCAAACAACACACAATTGTGGACCTAAGTGCTCAGCAAATACTCTAATTGCTGAATAGTTGTTATGTCATTTAGTTCTCTAGCAGCCATCCTAAAATAGGTACTACTTGCCCATTTTACAGATGTGCAAACAGGCTTAGAGAGGCATGGTGACTTGCCCAAGGTCACATGACTATAAGTGGCAGAAAGGACTTGAACTCAACTCTAAAGTTTTTAAAAACACACTTTCTCGGGCCAGCCGAGTGGCTCAGTTGGTTAAGAGCTTGCTCAAGAGTGCGAGCTCTGAGTAACAGGGTCGCTGGTTTGATTCCCAGCCCAAGCTGAGCTGCTGCTGAACTACCACCAGGTGGCAGGATGGCTCAGCTAAAAAAACCCAAGAAAAACCCCAAAAACAAAACAAAACAAAAAACACACTTTCGTAATGCTGTGCCCTTGCATCTCTTAATATTATTGTTTGCTCATTTAATATAGATAATATTCAAAGTATTCTTCTCTGCCACTCTAAAGTTTCAGTCTGTTGCACATTGTAGCTCTGGACTCTTTCT